GCAGGCAGAGGAGTGGGAGGGGAAACAGCAAAGGCTAGAGGTAGGAGTGGGAGGCTTCCTGGTGGAGGAGGCCAGGGCTGAAACAGCCCCTGAGACATGAGCAGGTGACAAGTGGGTAGAAGGTGGGCATTCTAAAGGGAATGGGGTCTGGGGACGTGAGCATACTGTCCATGGGAGACCAGCTGGGAGGCTGCCCTCCAGGCTGACACAGGCCAGACCATCATGGGTCCGTCCTCGGTCCTTTCAGCCAAAGCGTGAACTACACTCGTGGCCCTAGGCAGGAGGATTTCAGGTCTTGGTAAGTAGGAGGGGGATTTCTGGCACCAGTGGTGAAGAGGAGTTTCTTGGGAACCTTGAATCTCGGGACTCTCACAGAGACCTTGAATGAGTTTGTTCTTTGTTGGCTATACAACTTTGTGTGTGCCTCAGTTTTCCTGCTGGTGAGACCATGTCTCAGGGGACCTCTAGGGGCTCTGATTGAGACTTAGGACTCCATGCGGAAAGGCGGCTACACTGGAGGGGTGGCGGTGCTGTTGGTATGTGGCTGCTGCAGTGGGAGCTCCCTGGGCACCAGCTTGTTCCGGCGGGGTGGCACTTCCCTGGGCACCAGCTTGGCTGGGCACTGCACCTAGGCAATGCTGTGAGCGAATCTCCTACCAACATGCAGTGCAAGCTGGCCAGAGAGCACCAGGCCCATGGAGAACTGAGCCCTGAAGAGGGGAGCACACTGTGGGGTGACTCCAGAGACCCCATGTTGCGTGTGGATGGTCCTTGGTCCCTCGGGGAAAGGGCATAGTGCTGTTTGACGGCAGACTGGCTGGACTCTGAAGGCTCCTGGCCCCACAGTATCCTTGAGGCCTCGGACACACTAGGGGACAAGGGCCTGGTGGACTGCAACCAATTCAGGCTGCTGGGCGCAGGTGGAGCCATGCTGCGGATCCTGTGTCTGGCGCTCTTCGGCCTGCTGCCTGACGTGCGGGCCGACCCTGGGGCACTGCTGCGGCTGGGCATGGACATCATGAACCATGGTGAGCCTGCAGGAGGGGGCTGCAGGCTGTGGGAGGGAGAATTGCTTGTGTTGCAGGGCCTTGAGCATCCTACAATCTTCAAACCAAACCCATAAGCAATGTGTCTATAATCTTCCCGTTCTAAGGGAGGGGAAACTAAGGCCTAATGCTCCTCCTAGTTAGATTCACAGTTGGAAAACCTGCTTTGGAGTCCCTCCTGGGCCCTGATCACAGTGGCTGGTGGCCACATCTCAGCTGTGGGAGTGACAGGTGGGGGTGAAATCCCAGTTATGTCATCCACTTGCTGTGTGACCTCAGGCAAGTCACTTGCCCTGTCTGTGTTGCTATTTGTCTATCCGTAAATGTAAATACATCTAAAACAGGATGACTAGTCCTTCCCTGGCAGGATAAAATGAAATGTGAAATTAAAATCCCCTGGAAGAGGATTTAAAAATTTAAAAATGTATTTTCTATCTCTACCCCACCTTGGTGACCACAAGAGAAATGGAGTAGAAGCCAGGCATAAAAGACTAGTGATTGTTCATTCAGTTCAGTGCTTGTCCCCTCCCTGGGAACTCACCTGTGAACAGTAGAGGGGTTTCTGTGAGGACGTGATTTGGGGTTGGGGCCTCCAGCCCTGGGCAATCAGGCCTAGCACCTGCATTTTAACAGGCTCCCAGATGAGCTCCTGACCGCTCAGTTTGGGAGGACCTGGGTCACAGGGAAGGGGGATGTGCTGGCTTGGGGTTCAAGGCATCCGGCAAATGGGTTTCTGCGCTCTTTCCACCCGCCAGCCACAAGGGATTTCTCTCTTCCCTCCCGCTTCCCACTTTTTGCCCTCCCCGTCCTTGTTCTTGCTGTGCCCTCTGCCCAGCAGGTCACCCTTCATCTCTTTTCTTCCTGGTGAAAATTCCTATTCCTCCTTCAAGGACCAGTATGTCACCTCCCCCTGGCAGAATTCCCCAGCTCTTCCCTTCAGACCCTAAACACTTCATGTGGCTCTTATAGCTGCCCACACTTATCTGTTATGGATTTGTCGCTTGTTAATGTCACTGCTGGAGGCACTCCCCAGTAGACTGGGGAAGGGTTGGGGTTGGGCATGACTCATCTCTAGATCCTTGGTGTTGCCAAGCCCAGGTGGGGCACAGTGACTATAAGTGGCTTGGGATGCTCAAGAGATTAGTGGTGTGCAGGGCAGAGTGGGGAGTCCAGCTAAGTGTCTCTCTGACCCCGTGCCCCCCAGAGGTCCAGAGGGCCATGGAGGAGAGTCACATTCTGGAAAAGATGGCAGCGGAGGCAGGCAAGAAACGTCCTGGGGTTAAACCCATCAAGGGCCTCAGCAAGTAAGCAGAAGGGGCGTGGGGGACAGGGCGGGAGTGGGGTGGGGATGCTGTGCCCCAGGCCTGAGAAGGCAGGTGACAGCGGCACAGGGCCTGGAGCCTCTTCCTTGCCTGCTGTGGTCTTGCTGTGTGCCTTGGGCAGGTGCTTGCTCCCATGTGGAATGTAAGGAGGGTCATTCTGAGAAGGAACTGATATTGGAAAGTCAGCCTCTAACTCCTTACATGCACCATGAGATTGCTGAGCTTGTGCGGAATTAAAGGAGAATATTGCCAGTGGTCGATCTGGAAAGGCACCAACTACCGTCGAACAACAGGAGGAAACTGGTTCCGTTGCGAGTGCCCTGTGGGACTGCGCAAGGGAGGCTCTGAGGCACTGTGGGACTCGGCGGGAGACAGGACCGGGAGGGCTGAGGGCTCAGGAGAGGCAGGTGGTGTCCGTACCACATCTTCCTTATCCTGGATCTCGACTGGCGGTTCTTGACTGGGGTGATTGCCCCTAAGGGGACAGTTTTGGTTGGCACTCTCAGGGAGTGCTCCTGGCACCCAGGGGGTTGCGGTCAGAATGTTACAAACATCCTCCTGTGGACAGCCTGCCATGGCGAAGCACAGATTTGCCCCAAACACCTCCGGTGCCACTGCTGAGGAGCCCAGACCTAAGCAAACCCCACTTTATTTATGGGGAAACTGAGGGCTACACAGGGGAAGGGAACAGACCAAGGTCACAGGGTCAGCCATGTGCTGAGTGCTTTCTGTATATGAATTGGTTCATGTCCAGCCTTTTATTTCATTTCATGGTGGGCCCAGGAGACAGGCTGATCCCTGTAATGTGGCACGGAAGGGTTACCAAGGCCTCCCGGGAGGGGTGGAGGAGGATTGGGGGCCTGGACTTTGCGCAGTTCTCTTCACTGGATGCCTGTGCCCTCCCAGTATGAAGGTCAAAGATGTCATCACACCCATCATCACACTGAACTTTGTACCTGGAGTAGGCATCTTCCAGTGTGTGGCCACGGGCATGACCATCACTGGCAAGAGGTGAGTACAGCAGAAGAGGGGACGGGGAAGGGGGCTGTCTCACGCTTGCGGGCACAGTTATTGTGGACCTGCCGTGTGCCAGCTGGCTGCCGTGATCTGAGATGATGCAGACCTGGTTCCCATTTTCATGGGAAGCAGACTAAGCACAACCACAGACTGAACAATTGGCCTAGAAGAGGGGATGCGCTGAGCAGGAGAGAAAGGGCGTCAGAAAAGGCTTTGGGGTGGAGGTGACAGCTGAGCAGTTTGAAGCTTATGCCGGGGTTCGCCTGATCAACAGGAGAGGGGAAAGGCTGGGTGTGTGACTTTGGCCAGGTCCCCTCCCCTTTTTTGTCTGAGGGTGGTCCCCTCTCCTCCCCGCTCAGAGCTGCTGAGGTTGTGGGCGGAGAGGGGGAGGGAGAGGGGCAGAGATGCCCATGATGCCCGCCTGCCTCAACCTCCAGCTTCACGGGGGCGAACATGGAGATCATCGTGGTCCTGAACATCACAGCCACCAACCGGTTTCTGCGGGGTGAGGAGACGGGACTCCCCATGTTCAAGAGTGAGGGCTGTGAGATCATCCTGGTCAGCGTGAAGACCAACCTTCCAAGCAAGTGAGCGCCCTGCGGCTGGGAGGAGGGCTGGTCCGTGCTGCCGCCCCAGCCAGCACCCCTCCCCCAAGACATGGGGCTTCCTTAACTGTGGCGTCCTCTGCCCAATGCCCTGACCGCGGTGTGCCGTCTGCCCGTCTGGTGCCTCTGCCTAGCATGCTGCCCAAGGTGATCAGCAAGTTCCTGGACAGCACCCTGCACAAAGTTCTCCCTGGCCTGGTGAGTGGCTCTGTTTGACCTCTGCCTTTCTGGCTGGAACTGCTTACATCAGGGTGGCTTTGGCTGCTGGCTTTGACTGGTGCATAGTGGCTGAGAAGCCTTCGGAGGCAGCGGCAGCTCTGTGCCAGGAAGTGATGTGATCATCTACGTTTCTCCAGGAGCATGGGCTGGGGGAGACAGCAGCCCGCATGTCCCAGCTTGCCAGCCCTGCTTAGCCGACCAGCCTCTGGGGAGTGTGACCTCACTGACTACAGGCTGTTGTCAGGAGATCTGGGTCCTAGTTCAGACTCTGCCACTGACTTCCTGTGTGACTTGGGCCTGTTTCCCCACCAGTTCCTATCCCATCAGGCTCTTGAGATCATTCCCCCAGCGGTGCTGGGCTGTGAGGAGTGAGGCCTCTCAGTCTGGTGATTCCTTGGCTTCCAGATGTGTCCAGCCATAGATGCGGTCCTGGTGTATGTGAATGAGAGATGGGCCAGTCTGAATCGTGAGTATAGCCCCAGCCACACCCAGCCCCTGTGTGGAGACAGCAGGATGGCTGTCGTTCCATCCCCCATTGTCCACTTAAATGGCAGGTCCCAGTCCAGCCTTGGGTCTGGAAGAGGGCTGAGGCCACAGTGTCCATCCCCCCACCTCCCAGATGGAAAGCCTGAGCCCCAAGGGATTCTGGGTCCTCCCTTCCCATCTCTCCACCCAGTCTTCCCTCCAGCACTCCCAGGACCCCAAGCACTGCAGCCATTCTGCATGCACCCCCAAACCTCGTGTCCTGAAGAGCCATACCAACTGTGGTGATCAATATTTGAGTTGCCTTTACCAAGGGGACCTTTTACTTCCACCATTTTGGGGTCCACAGGCCTCCCCAGTGTGGGAAAAAGTATATCCCAGAAGCTGGGACAGAAAAACCTGGTTCATATCCTTGGCAATGTGGCCTGGAAAGTCCCTTCTCTCCTCTGAGCCTTGGTTTGTTCATCTGTAAGACAGCCAATGCTCCAGCCCGTCACTCTGCTTCAGTCCGTGCTGTGACTCCCTTGGAGAGTGTGCGGCTCTGTCCCTGCAGAGCAGTGTGATGTCCAGGCCAGGCCCCTGAGCCTCCATGCTGTAGCTGAAGTCTTGGGTCACAAAGAGGCACAGGATCAGGGAGCAGTTGGTTGGTGAAGGCCTCTCTGTCTTCCCTGGAGTAGGCACCTCTCTGAGCAGAATCTCTGCTTCACAGACCCCATGCCTGTGGGCCGTATGGGCACCATCAAATATGCTTTGGCATCCACACCCACCACAACAGCCAGCCATGTCCAGGTGGACTTTAGTGTAAGTTCCAGGGCCTGGGGGACAGGAGCTTGGGCTCATGGCTGGGGGAAGCTGCCTCCTAGGACAGGCGGCTGGATGGGCTTTTGGGCTGGGAGGCCAGGCCTTCCATGACAGTGTTCCCTGACATCTCTAGATTTCTGCTTTAAGCATAAATCTTGAGTCCACCAGCTGATTTGGGGGTGCCAACTTTACCCTCACACTTCTCCCATGGGTATTGCTTTTCCCAGTGAGAGGGGCTTGCCACTTGTATCTGGTCATTGTACAGTCATGTGGGGCCCCTGGGGCTCAGGAGAGGGAGGGCTTGGCTAGGGACCACCGTGAACTGGGGGCAGAGTTGGGTCCTCATTCAGGTCTCCAGAGTCCTAGGAGATGAGGTGAGATATATCTTCCAGGAGTAGGGGAAAAAACTTCTAAGAAGTCATCCCTTTGTGATCTCTTCTCCCAGCAGGGTTTAACAGTGGTCCTGTTTTGGCCACCCATCTCCTCTGGCACCTGAGAATAAAGTAGAAACCTTATCTGGATAAATGAGGGCTTCAAACTGCCAAAGTCAGAGCACCAGTGGTCTAGTGACTGATACCCTTATCCTTTTGTGCCCCAGGTTATCCACGTGTACCTGGGAGAGCTGTGGTGGTCTGCTGTGGCTCTAACATTTAATGACCTGCTGACTTGGGGCCTGGTTTGAGCCCCATTAGTCTGGAGGCCTGAGGCTGACCTGGCCTCCATCCCTTATAGCCGACTGTCTTCCTCCTGGCCCCCCACAGCCCTTGGTGCAGCAGCAAATGGGCAAAACTATCCCGCTGACCAACACTGAGGAGGCCCTTGAGTTCCCCGGGAACTACACCGAAGGCTCATCCCAGCTACTCTTGTCAGCTGCCTTCCTCACAGCGGAGCTGGGCCTACTGCGGAAGTCCTTGGATGTGAAAATCCAGGATAAGATGGTGAGCTGTCCAGGGCCTGCCCTATCTGCCTCTACCTTCTATGACAGTCCCTGCCTGCTTCATCCACCTGACAACGTTCTGGGGCTGTGGGCCACACTAGAACCAGAAGGAGTCTGGGCTTGAGTTTGGCTTTTTATCATGACTTCACCCACCATCCACCGTCCACCATCCACCATCCTTCTGTCCATGTGTCCATGTCTGACTGTGCAGACATCTGACTCCTTATTCATCTGCATCTCTCAGACCTTGGTCAGCCCCCTCCTTCCATCCGGTTGTCACTCACCCACTCATCCATCCAGCTTCCGAGAATAACAGCCTGGTTTTGTCCTTCCAAACAGCAAATGCCTGTCTCTTACTGCCATCCACGTAGCACCTAGAACATGGCCGGGCACTGTTGAATGAGTGAATTTAGGCACCTGCCACTTAGCACCCACAGCCCTGTATTCTTGCCCAGCTTTTCACGATTCATCCTCCTGCTCCCTCACACATTCCATCCCCTGTCCCCTGAGCCTCCATCTCTGCATCCTCCTTCACTGATATCCGTTCCTCTTCCCTTTACCCACTTGCCATCCGTCCATGTGCCTCCCACCCAGCTTCTCACCCGTCCACCCATTCACTTAGTTTCCCACTCTTCCTCCCATTGCACCGTCTTCCCATCCTCCCATCCTCCTGCTCATCATTCCTTTCATTCCCCCACCCATCCACCCATCACCCATCCACGTGTCTGTCCTTCTACCAGTCCATCCATCCTTTCATCCATTCACTTACTCGTCTGTTTATGCATCCCCTGTCCATCTACCTACCCATCCCTGAACCCACCCACTCACCCCTCTTGTCCACTGCATCTATCAGTTTTGCCCTCTGCCTTCCTGCTTTTCCGTGCATCCACATTTTCTTAGCACTCGACCTCACGCTGAGAGCTGCAGGCACTGGAAGGTGTAGATCTTGGTCTGGGCTCCCCAGGCGTTCCTTCTCCAGGTCAGCTGGAATGGAGAGTGGAGTGACAGAGGGAGCCTCAGAGGGAGCACAGTATTGAGCCAGAGAGGTTGTTAGGAGCGTGGGGAGCTTCAATCCCCAACCTTGACTTTGATTTTGCAGATTGGTGAGCTGCCTCCACAAACCACGGAGACCCTGGCTGACTTCCTCCCTGAGGTGAGTGCTAACCCGTGACTACTGCACTCTCCCCTGCAGTCCAGGCAAAGGGAAGGGAGGGGCTCGGGAAGCAGCTTTTCAATGCTACGTGTGCCTTGCCCCTCATGGAAACACCCCAGCTTCTCCATAAAGTATTCTTAGGGTCCAGCACAGAAACAGCTCAGCCTTTACACACTACTACTTTGTAGGTCTGATATAGAAATGGCCAAATGGTGTGTTTTGCTCCTGTGTCTCCTGAGAGGCACATCCCATGTTGTGCTTCCTGTATGACAAGTACTGTACGTCATACTTCCTGTGTCCAAGTAGAAATCAGCACGTTCATGAGGGTCTCTTGATTCTGAATGAAGTCCCTGTCCAAGGATCTGAGTGAGGCCTCCTGGTTTCCGTAGGTGGCCGAGGTCTATCCCAAGCCAAAGCCCTTGGTGACCCAGATCAAGCTAAATAAGTCCCCCAAAGTCACCATGAAGTCAGGAAAGAGCCTGCTGCACCTCCACGGCACCCTGGAGATGTTTGCGGCTCAGCGGGGAAAGCACCCTGTGTCCCTCTTCCTCCTGGAGGTGGTGAGTAGGGTCTGCCCCACTCCTCCCCAGCTTCGGAGATATCCATACTGCGGGGGCGGGGGGCAGTCTTCAGTGAGAGCCGAGAAGTGGATGGGAATTTTGAGTTCATCTCAGCTGTGTGGCCTCACCTCCTGGGCACTGTCATCTCTCTGATCCTTGGCTCTGCCCTTGAACCTGTCGTGGCTGGATAGATCAGCGCACAGTGGCCCAGTGATGTAGCCCTTCCTTCCTCACTCCCTCCTTCCTACCTACATCATTTCTTAGCAGCTGCAGAGTCAGGAATAAGTTCATGCAGGGGACTGTGGGAGGCTGAGAGACCACAAACCCAGTTTGAGGAGTCACAGTGGACTTCCCAGAGGAGATGATAGCTGAGCTGGCTTGCAGTTTGAGAAGAAGCTGGCCAGGGGAAGTGCTGATGTCAAGGAGGTGGGGCATGGAGAACACCCCAAGCAAAGGTCACAGCAAGGCAAAGGACCACAGTACATGCAGGGACCCTCCATGGTGCCAGGTACATCTGGCGGTACTGCTGTGGCCCAGGACACAGTCAGAAGCATGGGCTACAAGCGTGGCGACTGCTGGGTTCACTGTTGGGGACAGGATGGAGAGGAGGGTTCCTACCTTGCCTTGGCAGTGCTGCTCTTGGTAGGGACCTGTGCTTTCGCTCTGCTTCCTCCTCACACCAGCACTTCAATCTGAGGATCCAGTACTCAGTGCATGAGAACCGGCTACAGCTGGCCACCTCTCTGAACAGGTAGGACCTGTTGCCCCGGGCTGGCACCACCAGCAGCACTTAGCTTCCTGCTCCAGGCCCTTTCTCTGTGATCCAGGAGAGCTGTGGGAAGAGCATGGGCGGGAAAGACGACTGCTCAGTGTCCCATCATAGGTGACGTGCAAACTAAGACTCACATATACCTGAAGGCCATAGAGGGGAGCCCCTGCATCAGGGAGGGGTTGGAAATGCTTGAGATTCCCCCTTTTCCAGGGTCAGGGCTGATGGCTCTGGCCAGTGTCTCTCCCCATCCGCTGCCTGACCCCTTTCCCCACAGATTACTGAGCCTGTCCCGGGGGTCCTCATCAGTTGGCAACTTCAATGTAAGTGTCCCGGGGGTTTTCCCTGGTCTGGTTTGAGACCAAGACTGTGTCGGTTCCTCTGGGAGACCAGGGATGAGGCCTTGGCAGGAGGTAGGAAGAACAGAGCAAGTCCATTTGGAGGTTTGGGTGCTCCTGACTAGCTCTGTGACCTTGGGAAAGTTGCTTAACCTCTTGGATTCCCCGCTTCTAGATAGAATTGAGACATCTCCCTGGATTGATGCTTGAAACACTGCCATGGGTAGTGGTGGTCTGGGCTGGCATCACTTGGCCCAGCTGTTTTGTCTCTATAGCCTTGGGCCCAACTCTGAACCTGCCCCAGCAAGTGCTGTGTCCTGTGCTTTGCTATGTGTGCTGAAACCCCACAGAAACCCTGCGAATAGGGGCTACTGTATCTTACTTTCACAGTCAGGAGAACTGAGGCACAGACAGGTGGTGGACAAATAACTGCTCAAAGCTGCTGGGTTTTCCCTTGGAGGAGGAGTTAGGTCTACAGCACCCACTCCTGTCTCCTGAACTTCCCCACTCCTGCATCATAACCTGAGGCCCCACATGTGCCCTGAGCAGGAACTGAGCAGAGGCCCACAGAGCCCCAGTTTTGATGCTAGCTGGACAACCTGACGTCTCCAAAATCCACTGCTCTGGTCCCCAGGCCTAGACAGAGGGAGGCAGAATGGACTTGCATTGTATTGCATTGTATTGTATTAGCTTTTTTTGGATTGAATGGCTTGGAGGATGGCATGTGGATGTTTTCTTTCTTTCTCTCCCTCAGGAAAAGGAATTAATCAGCTTCATCACCGATTATCTCCAAGAAGCCTACACACCAGTGGTCAATGGTGAGAATTCATTTTACTGGTGCGAGGAGCATTTTAAGCAAGAAGGGGACCCCCACACACACACTTGGTCTCAAAGCCCATCACTGACTGCAGATGGGGGAGGCCAAAAGGGAGTGGATGGATGGTCATCACTGAATCTTTGAGGCCAGTATAGTCTTACTATTACCTGCTCAGGGACAAAGGCCCACCCACATATTGGACTCCAACCCTCGACCTCATATCACAAGCGAGATTTTGACCTGGCAGTAAGTACATGGCAGATGGGTACATATGTTTATGCAGTTGGCAGACATCATGAATTAATCACTGTACTATTTCCTCCTACTCTGCTCCAGGAAGCTTCTTAATCAACTGCAGAACAGTCAGGGTAAGATGATGCTTTCTGTATTTCTCAGATGTACTCCAAGTGGGGCTCCCACTCCCAGATCTTCTGGCGATCAACTACGACCTGGCTGAGCTGGACATAGTGGAGGTGAGGGGAAGGGATGGGAGAGAACATGTCAATCACACTTTTCAGCCAATGGGTGATGAGCAAGAACCCACCTCTCTCCAGCTAAAGGAAATGAGGCTGGGGAGGGCTGGTGGCCATCAATATAATCTTGCCAACCCCATGAGCAAGACCATGTCCCTCAAAATCTGGGGAACTTCCTTGGCCAGGGTTGCCCCAAATGATGCCTGAACTCTGCTACTGTCTTGATCTGCCACATTGGACAATTGCCTGATCCTCTCTATGCCTCTTTTTGTCTGTGCTTAAAGTGGGGATGAAAATATGGGCATTGACTTCACAGAGCTGTGGTTATGATTCACTAAGATAATTCACCTAGGGCAATTAGTAACCCCATCTCATCTCTCTACTCTGGGAGGTAAGGTTGCTTGCCCCCATTTAACAGGTGGGAAAATTGAGGCTCAGAGAAGTGAAGGGACTGCCCCAGGGGCATAAGGGTGTCTACTTCAACCTTGGTGTAAAAACTGCACTGGTTTCTATCTTCTGATCACGGATCCAGTTCTGGCCCTTCCCTGTGCCTGGGTGACCTTGTCATAACTCCCCATCCCCTCCTACCTGGCCCTTTTTCTCCTGCCAGAATGCCCTGGTGCTGGATTTGAAGCAGGCCTGACCGCACAGGACTCCATGCCAGCTGCCCGCACACCACCATCCCTGCACCCTGCAGTGGGGCTGCCTGAGGAGAGCCTGTGGGCTTGGCCCTGGCCTTGCTTCCTGTGAGGAGGAGACAGTGGGACAGGATTGGGTTGCGGCCTGGCAATAAACTGGAGAAAGGCCCTGACAAACACCCACACTTTAATGTCTTTTGTTGCAAGCTGATGTGTGGCTTTTCCTCCCCTTTGGTAGGTTTGGGGTCTGAGCCCATTTTGGGTTGGGGAGGACGGCCAGTGACAGCCTTGGGGTGGGCAGGAGCATGCCCATGCCCTGTACCATCTCAGATCACCACTCAGTCCCCTGTCGTCCCACTGTACAGATGAGGACCCTGAGGCACAGGGGTCAGTGTCCTTATCCAGGGTCACACTGTTTGGCAAATGGCAAAGCTTTTCCTGCCTCAGCTCTCTGCCCCTAAATTGGTAACTAGAGGACGCTCCATTCATAGGGAGCCTGTGTCCCCAGGAAGCTCTTCCCTGTCACCTCCCTCTATTCTCACAGCAGTTGAGGGGTCAAGGGTGGTCCCTCCTTCACCAACAAGGGGACTGAGGCTTGCAGAGGTAAGGCCACCTGGCAAATTGAGAGCAGAGTTGGGATTGGAACTTGGGCTCTGGAGCCAGCCTTCTGGGTTCAGGTCTTGGCTCTGCCACCCTGCTGCTGTGGCTGAGTGTCCCAGGTGAGTCACTTTATTGATACAAGCCTCAGTTTCCTCACCTGTACGAAGGGATGTTGTCAGTACTGACTTCAGCAGGGTCAGGTGAAGATGAAAGAATGGAATCGTTCAAAATGCTTAGCATGGTGCCTGGCTCACCGTAGGTCTCAGTAAATTCCAGCCATCAGCTGAGACAGATGGGAGAGGGGCTTCTGTCACAATGTGGCCGGGAGGCACCAAGTGTGTGTACGTGGCGAGCATGTGCCAGGGGACAGTCTGAGGTTGGTTCTGCCTCCCACATTCACGTGAGGATCAGCGGCTTGACATCTGCTACATCTGTTCCCTTCACCTCCTCTTCTGGGCTTCACTTTTTTTGGGAGGGGGCTGTGCTTCTGGGGATGGAACCCAACACAAGCCAGGCAGGCACTCTACCACTGAGCTACGTCCCAGCTCTGATAGTCTTAAATTGATTCACTTTAAAGTGAATGTATATTTAACATAAGTGAATTAAAAATAACTTTAGCTGGATCCTGAAAATCTGTGCTACTTGCTAGAACAGAAAGAAATAAGGAAAGGAAGAAAACAGAGATCCAATAACTTTGAGAAAAAAAGCACATCGGGGTCCCTGTGGTCAGCTGCTGCCCCAGCTTGGGCGCTGTGTGGGGCAGCGGTGACTGTGTGTCTGTGTATCTGTCTCAATGTGTGTGCCTCTGTGAGTGGGTCTGGATGTGGGGTCTGGGTGTGAGTGGGTGTGGGTGGGTCTGCGTTTGGGCACACGCATGTGTCTGTGGTGTGACCACAGGCCTGCTCAGGGGGCCAGTGTTCCCTAAGCCTGTGAGGCCCTGGCAGTTGGACTCCATCCTGGCCTGGCACAGGGCCATGCCACAGAGTAAAGAGGCCCGGATGCCAGGACTGCCCCTTATCTCTCTCTTTCGGCCCTAATTCCATCACCTGTCATCTCTCCAGCTCGGGGACAGTGGCAGCCTTGAGGCAGGTCTGAGCGGTACTGATGCCTGGGTAATCCGTGGGTGGTGACGTCTGACCCTGGGCCTCCTGGAGACACCCCTCTGCCCCCACCTCGGGCCCCCGCCTCTGCCCTGTGTCTGATGGCAGCCTCACAGCCCCCCAGGCCATCCTGCCACCTTTCCAGCCGTATGCAGGTGGGGAAATCAAGGCTGTTAGAGCTGGAAGGCCTGGGTTCTCACCAGACCCTGGACACTGTGGTTTCAGACAAGCCGCAAAGCCACAGCCCCTCTCTGGACCTCAGCTTCCCCATCTGCATAATGAGAAAGGGGTTGGGTGCCCTGACCTCTAACCTGACTCCAACAGTCTGGGTGGTCAGTTACTCAAGGTTCTCCCTGGGCAGGAAGTGGGGGCGAAGGGAGCCCTTCTTCCTGTGTCCCCACTGCTTGTCCCGCTGGGTGCTGCTCACCTTGCTGGACTCCTCCTAGATAACGAAGAAGAGGTTCCAAGGGATGAAACGACCTGCCCAAGAGCACCTGATGCAGGTGGGGCTGGACTTGAGTCCCACCTGCCCAGGGCCAGTCCCCTCGTGGCCCCTCACACCACACTCACCAGGGGATGCGTTGTCATCCTTGAGGACATGGGGCAAGCCGGGAGCAGAGTCAGTCTGTCAATCCTGGGCCTGCAGTTGTCAGCCTCTGGGGACCTCCCAGGCTGCCCTAGTGATGTACCCCACACCTGAACCCACAGCCACATCTGTCCTGCCCTGCCGTTCCACCTCCCCAGCCCAGTCTCCACTCAGTGCCCCCAGGAAGGCCTCCTGGGGCGTCACCATCGCCTAAATCTCCCTAGCACCCCTCCCCTGACATCCAGGAACCTGTCCTCAGAGTGGGACCAGGTGAGAGTGGGCACCTTCCACGTTAGCCCATTTTGTAGAGAGGGAAGCTGTGGCTCTAGGAGGTAAGTCACTTGACACTTGATAGTGAGTGACAGGGGTGGGATGTGAACCCAGATTTCTGGCTCCAGAATTCCCTAGGGGCAGTGTCAGGAGTCTCTCCTCCTCGGCTCTAGCCCTTCGTGGCTCCCGTCAATGCCACGTTCATCGCCGTGGCTGCACATCACCTTGCCCTGGAGGCCAGGAAGCGTGCTTATTCCGGCCCCTGCACCCCGAGCGTGGGGTCAGAATTGCCACGTCTTGAGAGCCCAGGGACGCGGATTTGAATGACTGTCTTCCTGACACAGTCCTAATCCGACCTGGCCTGATGTGCAGGGTGGTGGGGGTACCTGGGGAGTGGGTGCGGCTGGAGTCCCCTGGGGTGGGGTCTGACAGGAACTGAGGAGCTTGGTAGCATTTTCCTCCCTTCCAAGAGGCTGAGCCAGGCAACAGCCAGGATGTGGGCATAGGGTCAGGCGGCCTGGTGTGGCCCCCACCTGACCTGGCAAGCCGCTTTCCCTCCCGAGCCCTGGTTCCTCGAGTGGAGACCTGACATAACGTCAGCACCAACAGCGTGGGGACCCACAGTGCGGGGACAAACAGCGCGGGGTTGTGCTGTCGCAGTCACACAGATCCAGTGCCACACACACAGTTAGTGCTCGATAAATGCGAGGTGTCAGCTTTCGTTCCTCTTCGACTGTCTTAGGAGGCTGGGCGGCCCCCGGCCGTGGAAAGGTGGCTGTGGCTCATGGATCTGAGCGGGAGTGTGCGGTGGCTCTGCGCGGCTGTTCGGGAGCACCGTAGCCGTCACTACCACAGTTCAGCAAGCACGCGACACTATGACCCTGCGATTCTGATCTCAGTTGTTCCCCCAAGAGAAATGGAAAATAAAGACATACAGCCCCCCAGAGCCCCGGCAAGAACTTTCACAGCAGTGTCAGCTAGTAGCCATATCCAGGAGACCACGGTCTCTGGACAGGGTGGGCGGCAGTGAGCAAACTGGCACCTCACAGGGCCGCATGGATGAATGCCATTGACGCCGCGTGCAGGGAGCCAGCAAGGAAGGGCACGTGTCATCACGCACTGCTGGCGCCCTGGCACCCAGGGACTCCTTCACTGTGTCAGGACAGGGGTGACTCGGCGGGGACACACGGAGACTTCTGGAGGCCTCTCTAAACTTCATGGACAGGTACACCTGAGCTCGGCCCTTTTCCACATGTGTCTGTATGTCACTACAAAGTTTATTTTATAGTTGAGGAGCAGGCCATAGGTCAGAGGGTCAAGAGGCGGTAGGTTAGGCTCAGTCACTGAGTCACCATCCCTCCTCCGCATGTCCCCAGGCTGGTGCCGGTGCCCGGCACAGACCTCCAGATGTGCTGAGCCCGTCATAGTTCTGGGAGAGGAAATCCCAGGGACCGAGGGCACAGAGGTGGCGCTTCAGGAGGAAGGGTCTCCTGGACAGGCATCTGCCGAGGAATTGCAAATAAAAGCCAGGGACTAGGAGTCCATATTTTCACTGTGGTGGCCCCACAGCCCCGCTGGCCTCACCGCGGTTCCTGCAGCGGCCACTTCAGGCTGCCCAGCCCCGGCCTCCCCGCTGCTGCGCGGAGTGTGGCTTTCGGCCTGGCCCTGCTGTACTCGGCCTCCAGCTTCTCACCGCCTGCACCCTCTGGGTGTTTGCTTCCTCAGAAGCGTGCGGCCCCTCTGAGGGCTACGTGAGGTGACCACCTGAAATGTGGCAAGCTCAAGTTTGAGGGTGCTGTGAGCAGATTTGGGAAAGTTAGTATACATTATATGAGAGAAAGAAAGCAAAATACCTCACTGATAACTTTATGTTAGATAATAATATTTTGGATATATTGGGTAAGGAAAACTACATATTAGTAAGATTAATTTCACTGTGTTTTTTCTTTTTTACTTTTTTTTTTGTCTTTTTGAGACAGGGTCTTGCTATGGAGTTCAGGCTGGCTTTGAGCTCACTTTTTAGCCCAGGCTGGTCTCGAACTCGAAACAATTCTCCTGCCTCAGGTTCCGAAGTTCTGGGATTACAGGCGTGCGCCACCACTGCTTTTTGTTTTATGAAAAACTGTGGCTGCTGAAAAACTTCAAACAGCATTGCACTGGCACTGTCAGCTCCTCCAGCACGGCGCTGTCTCTTGCTTCCGGGGATGTCCCCAGCATCTGGCAAACAGTCAGTGCTCCACAAAAGCCTGCTGTAGAATAAATAATGAAGGAAGGAAGGAAGTTCTCTTCACTGTCATCTGAATCAGCCCCTGAAAGGGGGCAAAGCACCTGCTCGGGAGTGCTGGGAACTCTGGGCGGGGGCAGGCCCCATAGAAGTAGAGTTCATGGTCTCCCCCATGACCGCCGAGTCCCCTTTTCCGGGCCCATGGCCAGCTCCGTGCCAGGCCCTGGTGGCAGAGGGTCAGAGGCCCAGCAGCCTCCAGCTGCTTCCTCCCCTCCCTGGGCCCCTCTGAGGAGGTGGGGGTAGGCAGTGTAGATTCTGGGCCACGGGGGTGGCTTTGGGGAACAGGAGGGAGCCCAACAGGGGCAGAACAGGGGTAGTGGGTCCCAAGCCACTGAGCTCTCGGGAGGTGGCAGCGTTTGCAGCCCCCACACCCCGGCTCCCTCCCCTGAGAACCCACCCCAGCCTCCTCCCCCTCCCCCAGAAGGAAGGCTTAGTTCAGCCCTCTGAGAAAACCGCAGTTTGCTTCTGACATGACATATTGACGGCTTCCTGGCGGCTGCGCCCCTTTGTGTCCCAGAGCTGCTGTGCACATATAAGGGCCTGTCCTGGCCTCCGGTGGGTGGAGGACCCGACAGGAGGCCGAGCCCCCACTACCGTGTGGAGCAGCAGGAACAGCGGGTAAGGCTGCCTGAGGCAGCCCCTGGCCTGTCCTGCTTCCAACCTCTGGCCATTTGACCTCCTGCCATGCCATTTGAATAATGGGCACAGGGAGAATTCACCCTAGGAGGGGCCAGGGATACCTGGAGGGTGGCCAAGGATGGGGACACCAGTTCTAGGGAGCCCCATTTTTCTCTAAAGCCATGGGCCTCGAGTGGCTTCCCACTGAGACATTCCAGAGGTGATAGAGGTGAGACTTAGGGAAACCAGATGGATGTAGCGAAATTGCTGTTGGGACACACAGTGCTGCATACGCCTTTGCATCAAGCAGAGAAAGGGCTGCATGGCTGGGCAGACCCAGTACCAGGGCATTGGCCTGTGGGGTTCTAGCCTTGTTCCTCAGCACACAGCCAGGGGAGAACCCCACCCCCCATCCTAGGCTCTCAGGGAGATTCCAGAGATGGCATACCAGGACATGGTCACATGCCGCATTAATGCATTGTAAGGAGCACCTTAAGATACATATTCTGGAAGCTGTTTAGGGATTGGCTGGCTTTTCTAAACAAGGAAAAGGGGAGACAGGAAAGGTAAGGGTCAGTCACCAGCCACTCAGGTGGAGAGGTTTCTGTTCAGAAGGAACATGTGCAAAGGCCCTGAGGCATGCATAAGGTTAAGGCACTCAAAGAGGCAGGTGGGGACTTTGTGGGTAATGAAAAGAAGCTTGGGTTTGAACCCAAGGGTTTCAGCAGGGGTGACATCAGGGACAGATGGACACATGACTGGATGGGTGGATGGGGACGTCTATAAAGAAAGACTGTTCTATGAGACTAGTGATTCCTCGCTCTGACCTCCCGTCCCATCTCCGCATCAGCAGCCTTTGGGATGGAGGTGAGGTGGATGAGAGAGGCGGGCATGTTAAGCCTAGGTGTTTGGTGTCCCCAGCCAGCCCCTCCTTCTGGAATGAACTCACAAGCTGGCAGGAGCCAGTCCAGATCCACAGCTCTCATCTTGCTTTTGTGGAGTGTCCCTGATGCAGCTTTCACTCCAGACCCCCAACAGGCTCACCAGGGCCATATTGAGACTCTGAATTCAGGCAGGCTCAGGCTGGAATTCTGGCCGTGCCACTGATTAGCTCTGGGGCTGTGGTGAAGGGCTCTCCAATCCTTTGGCTTTAGTTTTCCCGTCTTTGAAATGGGATCCAATGAGGGAAAGGTTTAGAAAGGGCCTGGGAATCTCAGCGCATGTTGGAGGCTGCCCTGAGCAGCACGGACCTTGGCTCTGTGCTCTTGGCTGGAGAGGTCTTTTCCGGAAGCAAACGTGAATTTGGGCTTCGCCAGGTGGGAAGCAGGCATGGGAAGGACTGGGCACGAGGACTGTCTCAGAGTCCCTGCTCCCGCCCCTTCCAGGCGTCTGGCCGATGATGCTGGGTGTGTGGTCCTTGCTTTTGCTCTGGGGCCTGGCTTCCCCATGTGAGGGGCTGCTGGAGACTGTGGGCACGCTTGCTCGGATCGACAAGGATGAACTCAGCAAAGGTGAGGCCAGGTAGGCACGGTGTCTGCCCTGAGGACAGCAGAGCCTGGGCTCCCCCGAAGGCCCACGCTCTCAGGATTCTGGGAGCCACAGTGGGAGGCTGGGGCTGGTGCCTGGGCTCTGAGTGCAGAGGGTGACTGATGCCTTTCCTCCGAGTGCAGGGCTGGGCCACCCGGCTGAGGCTGTGTGGGGACTGCTGGCTGGGCCCTGCTCTGCCCCAGGGTTCTGGGTGCAGGCCTTTCATTTGGCATTGGCTGCTCCAGGCCCATCAGCCCTCTGGGACAGTCTCAGGGAAGGAGCAGAGCGGCTGTGAACAGGAAGCGCTTCAGGGAGGCCACCCCTGGTGCTCCAGGGACAGGAGGGGCCCCCTCCACCTTGATCACACCCCTGTGGCTCTCTCTCCTTTTGTTCTATCTTCCCTTTTGGTGCAGCAGCCAACAGAGGATCCAAAGCCCAAGTTATACTATTGATCTCAATCCTGATTTCCCGTGTGACTTTGGGCAAGTCTCTGCCTCTCTCTGGGCCTTAATTTACCCATCTGCAAAATGAAGGGATGCCCACGGGATTCACTTGTTCATACCACACACTCACTGGCTACCTCCTGTGTGCCAGGGAGGGCACGACCCTGTGCTGGCAGCAGGGAGTGGTTGTGGTTTCTGATATTTGACTGTAACCTGTGGGTCAATACCAATGAAAACGAGGTTTCCTGGGCTGGGGCGTAGCTCAGAGCACTTGCCCGATGTGTGCAGGGCCTGAGTTCCATCCCTAGTGCCTGAAGCTTTCATGCAGCCTGGTGGAGAGGGTCAGCTGCGGTGGTACTGCAGCTGCGTAGGAGTTTCCAGCATCTTCCTACTCTCGCCCTCTGCAGCCATCCAGAACTCGCTGGTCGGGGGGCCCATTCTGCAGAATGTGCTGGGCACGGTGACGTCGGTGAACCAGGGCCTGCTGGGCTCCAGGGGGCTGCTTGGAGGAGGCGGCCTGCTGGGCTACGGAGGGGTTTTCAGTGTGGTGCAGGAGCTCTCTGGGTGAGTCCCTGCGGGGCAGTGGGATGCCGCGACTGCTGTCCCCCCAGGCTGGCCCTCCTACCTCCCCAACCCCTGCCAAAGGTCTCTAGGGGACAAGACACTCTCCCGCGCACTGTGCACTTTACTAGTTCATGTCTGTCTCCCCGGGCAGAATTTTTATCTGAACTGTTCATTGCAGTATCTTCATATCAAAAATAGGGCTTGACATACAATAGGTGCCCCAAAATAACTTTTTAATGGAAGAAAGAAACCACATAAAACTTATATTTAACGATTACCCACTCCAGGTTTCTGTGTGTCTGACACCATTGCCAGTGAATTGCCCTATAGGAACCAGAGGTGGGACAGTTATTCCTGCACTTAGCCGATGAGCGGACTGAAGCCAGGGTGAAGCGCCCTCCCCAGGCCCACACAGCTGGGGTGGGAGTGGCTCCATGTCTGTGTGTTTAAGCGTGGGCCACAATGCCTGGCTGGTGGTGAGTCAGAGGAAGGTCAAAGACAAGCCTCAGCTAGGCTCTGTGACACGCACCGTCATCCCAGCACTCAGGGGCTGAGGCAGGAGGGTTTGAGCCCAGCCTGGGCAACAGAGCGATTTAGTGAGACTCTGTCTCAAAATAGAAAACAAAAAGGGCTGGGGAATGTAGCTCAGTGTAAGACTGGCTTCAATCTCCAGTATTGGAGAGAAAGAAAGCAAAGAAGGATGGAAGGAAAGATGGAAGGAAGGAAGGAAGGAAGGAAGGAAGGAAGGAAGTAAAGAAGGAAGGAAGGAAGAGAGAGAGAGAAAGAAAGAAAGAGAAAGAAAGCAGGCTATGGGGAGCATGGTAGGCAGAAATGGGGTGCTGGAGCAGAAGGGGGAATGTGTGTCTACCTCTCAAACAGCACATGTCTAGAATAGCTCTATTGTACAAATCTGGAAGCTGAGACACGGAGCAGCAGTGTGACTTGCCCAGGACCATGGAGCCAGTCAGTGGCAGAGTGGGATTTGAATTATTTGGCTTTGACTGTTTGTACTGTTAGCAGCTATTCAGGGGGTTGCTGCCAAGAAAATGAGTTAATCTGTATCAGACACCTAAAATAAAGCCTGACACACAGTAAACGCTTAATAAATGCTATTAGAATTGTTAGAGCCAGAGCTGGATGTGGTGGCACATGCTTGTAATCCCAGCACTTGGGGAGGCTGAAGCAGGAGGATTGCTGCTAGTTTGAGACTGGCCTGAGCTACATAGTGAGTTTAAAACTAGCCTGAAGCGCATAGCAAGACCCTGTCTCACACACCTACAAAAAGAATTATTAGTTTCAGTATTTCTCCCACTGTAGAACAGCCCCCACCATGGGTGAAGTTGAGATCTAAGATGTGAACTTGACACTGTTCTTGTCTTAGAACACTGCCAGTTTGTGGCAGAGCCTGACAGTTACAATATCACAGGTTCAGGCAGTGACAGAGGCCGAGTAGGGGGCATATGCCTGAGGCTGGGAGCCAGGAAGGAGCGCTGGAGGAGCTCCTTTCTGGAGGAGAGGATGCCCTGGCTGAAATCAGGAGAGCTGGGAGGCCTCAGCCAGACAGCAATGAACAGTGAGCGACTGGTCTGAGCAGTCTTGGGTTGGGTGTGTGAGTGGGCTGGGGGAGCAGGTGGAAGCAGTGTCAAGGTCAGAATCCAAACCAAGGCTGAGGCCACGGAAAGGGTATCAGCCGCATGACCTCCCTAGGACGCAGGTACCCGTGCTGCGCCACTTTGCTGCTGAGGCCAATGGGGCCCAGGGAGGGAGAGTTGGTTCCATAGGTTTGAGGTAGGACAGGGGATGTGCCCAGGAGGGACTCTGGGTCCTGCTGGCCAAGGATGGTCCAGGTCCCGGTGGTGGGTTGGGGGACGTGTGGCAGTGAGCAGCCCCACCTCTGCTCCCATCCCAGCGTGAAGATTGAAGAGCTCACGCTGCCAGAGGTGTCGCTGAAGCTGCTTCCAGGGCTCGGGGTGCAGCTGAACCTTCACACCAAGGTCGGGCTGCATGGCTCAGGGTGAGTGCAGCCTGGAGACCCTACCCTCCTGTACTACCAGGGACTCCATCCTACACCATTTGATCCCGCACCCTAAATTTCTCCCCACCTTCCTGATACACCCTAGATCCTTCGCCCTGTCCCTCCTGCGGACCTCCAACCCCTGACCCCTGGTCTCCTGACTGGTCCACCGCTCGGGCTCACCAGAGGGAATCGGGAGAGGACTCAGGGACAGGCAGGCGGGGCAGGGGGTACAGTGTGAGAATCAGGTGGGACCCCACCCTTTGCAAGGCCACTCCACCAGCCCCTCCTCAGGGCCCAAGGGGCAGGTGGGCGTGGCCGAGACGTGGCCTGGTGGTGGGGGCCCAGCAGCCTTGCCACGCCCCAATGTCGGGGGTTGCAGCCCCCTTGGGGGCCTCCTGCAGCTGGCCGCGGAGGTGAACGTGTCGTCGCGGGTGGCGCTGGGCATGAGCTCGCGAGGGACGCCCACTCTGGTCCTCAAGCGCTGCAGTACGCTGCTGGGCCACATCAGCCTGCTCTCGGGGTGAGTCCGCGTCCGGGCCTCTCTGGACCTGCTGCGCCTCGGCTGGGCGGGGCCTGACCTGCTGCAGTGCTCACCGCCCGCGGGCTTCAGTCCCAGCGCGCGCTCAGGGGACCGGACCGCAGCCCAGCCGCCCACAGGGTGCGCTGCCTGCAGGGTGCGCTGCCGGCTCTTGGTGTCCTGCTTCTCCGGAGCCCTCTCCCAGATGGAGCCGGCCTGGGGTCGCCTGGATCCCCTACGCCACCTGCTGGAATCCCTCTGCTCTTAGCACTTCAGGGCCCTGTCTCTGTGACCCAGAGCAGTCCTCTCCCTACCTGGTGCCCTTGTTGTACAAGGAGGGGGTGACCTGATAATCCACAAAACACATCTGTTTCTTCCTGTGGGGCCGTGTAGGACCAGGTGGCCCTTACTGCCCTGTGTTGAATGTCACTCAGAGGGTGAGGGGCTGGCTCGGTGTCACACCTCATGGCAGGGATGGAAGTGGGCTGGTCTCTGACTAGGGCCAAGGCTTCCCCTCGCTCTCTGCACGGCCAGCAACTGTGAGCAGCTTGGGGCCCCCAGACAGCTCTGTCAGCTCCACGGAGCAGGGTGACCCTGGGGCACTCCTGTCTCTACAGGGGCCTTCCTAAGGGGACTGTGGGCTCCTTAAGCTCCAGCGGCTCTGTCCTGCCCTCTGGCTGAGGGGGCCTTGGATGGAGTGCGGTCCAGGACAGCGTTAGCCTGTGGTAGAGGCTCTGAGCGTGGGATCCTGTGCCCCCATGGTTTCCAGAGAGGCCCGAGCCTGTCTTCTGGGATTTCATCCTCAGGCCACTTCCTCGTTCATTCATTCAACAGATATTTACTGAGCCCCACGCTGAATCAGAACCATTCTAGACGCAGGTGTTGGAGGGAAGGGGACAGACGCCTGTGGGGCACAGGTTGCAGGCCTGGCTCGCCTCCACTCCCGTCCAGTCTGGGCACCGGCGGTTGTACAAGACGGGCATTTCCCAAATGGGGAAATTATAGCCAGCCAATGGGAGGCCTTAGGCAGGGCCAGGGGTTAAACGAGCCCCCCAAGCCCCAGCAAACCCCACCTGAGGGAGGGGACAGAAGAATGCAGAGCCCCGAGTGCCCACCCAGCTTCTTCACCCGCTGTGCCCTGCGGGCAACCACAGCCTCCTGTTTCCCTCTGCCCAGGCTGCTGCCAGCACCGCTCTTAGCAGTTGTGCAACAGATGCTGTTCAAGGTGCTGCCCGACCTGGTGAGTGAGGAGTGAGACCCAGGGCCCGGCTGCCCCGCCCCCTGGGCCTCTCCTAGGCTTCCTCCCTGTTTGGGATAAAGCTGGCGCCTGCAGGATTAGCCTGCGTGTTCCCTGCTGGCTCCAGGGCCATCTTGTGCCACCGGCTGTTGGGCCTCCCCAGTCTCGGATTTCTGACCTGAGCTTCGTGCTACAGAAGTGCCGCTGCTCCCAAGTCTCTTTTCTCCCCTGCTCTGTTTTTGCCACTTGCATTATTTGGATGTTTTCCTCTCAATTACCTTTCAATTAAAACTGGTTCTTTTGATTTTAAATGGAGCCCTGTGCTCAGCAATTACATCTAGAAAATTACATCTGTATCCTTACCTGGCAGAGGAGGTTTTGTCGGATGGCTGCTCAAGGCGGTAGACCGCGGCTGTCCCAGGCCCCCAGGGCATCTGGATTCACGAGGGGAAGCAGACTACACTTGGGTCTGGCTGCAGCTGCGTTTCACTGAGGGTGGGAATAGCCACGAGCTGGGGTTCCACAGAGAGCAGCGGCCAGTGGGGCCTCCCAGAAGGTGGGGTGGCCCTATTCTGGACTTGAAACCAGTTTGGGAAAAAGTCTGCACAGGAGAGGGGATTCGCCCAGCCCCTCCCCTCAAGTGGATTTCAATGAGGGGCTGTGGCTGCACTGGTACCCCAGCCCCTAAGGGGGTCTCTGGAGCAACTGGCGGAAGTGGGGTTCTGTGCCACACAAGGAGGTTTTCAGATAAGAAAAAGTTCATTGCCAAGATTTAGAGGCCGATTTCTCTTAATCTGATTTCTGGCTCTCTGAGCTATCCTCCACCCCGACCCCACTGGCTGGGACCTCCTTCCTGTAGCTTGGCGCCCACCCCATCCCACCCAGCCCTCTGGTCTCCTGCTTGCATTTCTGTAACTTGCCTGACCCCAGAGGTTCTGAACTTTGGGGCCCCAGGGTTGCAGCAGCCTTCTCCTGTCTTCCTGCAAACTGCTGTGACCAGGGCCCTTCTTCTTCTGGCCCAGTATAGTCTGGGGGGCTGGCCAAGGTCTCACTGTGACAGGCTGTGGGACTCAGATTCTGAATTCAGGCCAAACCTTTGTCTGCTCCCTGTCGTCACAGCCCAAGGTGAAAGAACCAGGTGGTGGTTTGCAAATGACAGTTTGGATCCTGGCACAGCTCTCAGGGTGCATGGCAGGGTGCAGGGCAGGGTGCGCCCCACTGTGGGGTCTTGGTTCTGGCCTCCTGATGGCCACCTGAGGTGGCAGGAGGGGTCTGCTGTTTCAGAGGTCACCTCAGGACCCCTGCATGCTCAGGGAGGGCCTTGTCCCCACGCCTCATCTGGCCTCTGGGACCTGTCTCCTTGTTTCCCAGCAACCTTTGGGGTTTTCTGCTGAGGCTCGTGTACCAGAGGGAAGTGGGCTTGGGGGCTCCCTCAGCCTGTCCATGTGCCCCCTCCCCTGTGTCCCTCACCCATCTGCACATCCTGCTTTGCCCTGGACCCCAGCACCACAGAGCAGCCCATTCAGAGGACACACAGTTGTCCCTTGTACCACGTAGGGCTCGCCCTTGGGCTTCCCATAACGTCTGTCTCTTCCCGCACAGCTGTGCCCTGTGGTAGACAGTGTGCTGGGCGTGATGAATGAGCTCCTGGGGGCCACACTTTGTAAGTCTTGGCACCTTCTCCTTGTACCCCAGTGGGCTGGGGTGGGTCCTGGTGGAGCCGGGAGGCTGCTGCACTGACGCCTTGGGGAGGTTCTGGGCTGAGGCCTGCACAGGGGGCTGCTGGACTCTGGCATTTACAGAATGCTTGTGGTCAGAACAGGATGAAAACATTACTTCCTGCTCAGATGAGAAGATGGAGGCCCTGAGCCTGAGGAGGCTCCTCACCCCAGCCCCCAGCCAAGGGCCCTGTCCCTCTGCTCCTCCTGGAGAAACGGTGCCTTTAGTCCACAAAAAGGCTTTGGAAAGAGCATCAAGGCACAGCCAGGGGAAGGGCGGAGCCCTGGGGGTCTGGTGTCCCTATTGGGGTGCTGGTTAGAGACCATGGGTGGCCACGGTCAGTGGCACCAGCTCTGGCAACCAGGAATCTTGCTTTGCCTCCCTGTGGCTGTGTGGCCTGGCGACTTCCTCTGTCTGAGCTCAGTTTCCTCCCCTGCACAACGTGGGGAAGGCGGCAGCAAGTGAAGAGCGAGTCTGGTGCTGGGCCTGCCGCACACGCCCAGTACCGCGGGGTGGGGGGACCGCTCCTCTACGGAGCTGGCCCACGGAGTCCTCCTGCTCCCCTTTCCCACGCAGCGCTCGTGCCCCTCGGCACCCTGGGGTCCGTGGAGTTCACTCTGGCCACCCTGCCCCTCATCTCCAACCAGTACATAGAGCTGAACATCAACGTGAGTGCCGCCGGGGAGGCCCCTTCTGCGGGGCAGCGTGGGTGTCCGGGAGGGCGGAGGTGGGGGGTCTCACCAGTGAGTGAGCAGCCAGAGATGCCCCGTGCCCCGCCTCCCGCCCCTGCAGTCCATCGTGAAGAGCGCAGCCGGTGACCTCATTGATTTCCCCAAGCCCCACGTCCCGGTCAAGGTGCCGCCCAAACAGGACCACACATCCCAGGTGACTGTGCCGCTGTACCTCTTCAACACCGTGTTTGGGGTCCTGCAGACCAGCGGTGCCCTGGACATAGACATCACCCCCGAGCTGGTGAGTGCCATAGGGAGAGGGCGCTGTGTCTTGCCCCACCCTTGAGAAAGATGCTTCTGGGGCCCTCCCAGGACTGGGCCGTGCCAGTGCCAACCTGTCACACCATCACCATTCAGCCCCCTGGGCCCTCTGCCCCATGCCAGGAGAGAGCTGGGCAAGTGTGTGGTGTGGACACTGCTGCTGCCTGTCCCAGCGCTTGGGGAGAACATCACTAATCCTTAGTTGCTCTGTGTTTAGTTAAACCTGAGTGAGGCTTCTGAATCCTTCTCAACTCAGTCATCCAGGAAGTGCTTCCAAATTTCCTCTGAGCAGAACTGGCAAGGAAATGAAGCTAACTTCCTTCCCATCCTTGTACCAGCTGAGTCCTTCTTGAGTCTGAGCTCATTTTTACACTAAAGTGTGAATGGCTAACACCTCTCCTACTTTCTCAAGAGCTAGCCAGGTGTGATGGTACACGCCTGTGATCCCAGCACTTGGGAGGCTGAGGCAGGAGGATTGAGAGTTCCAGCTCAGCCTGGGCAACTTAGCAACTTGGCAAGACTCTATCTGAAAATAAAAAAATAAAAAAGGGCTGGAGATATAGCTTAGTGTGAAGGCCCTGGGTCAAGTCCCTGGTAACATGAGAGAAGAAAACAGACTTGAGGGTTTGCAGCACTGGGGGTCTGGGATTGGCAGGGTGCAGGAAAGGAGGCTGGCACTGCTCTGTGTGTGCCAGCGGGCCCTGTCCTGTCTCTGCGTTCACTGACCCCCTCTCCCGTTTGACCTTGGGTTAGGTTCCCAGCAACATCCCGCTGACAACCACACACCTGGCAGCTTTGGTCCCGGAGGTGAGTGGCTTTGACGCTGCAGCTCCTGCCCTGTGAGCCCGGAGGGACTCCAGCATCCTTCTCAGCTCAGCTCTCCAGGCAACTGTGATGGATGTGGAGTCCAAATTCACACTAATGAGTGAACGAATAATACCATGTCCTTCCCTGACAGTGAGTTTGCTTAGAAAGGAGAGGATGGGGTTTGCCCTCTCCAGAAGCCATTTGGACTGTGGTCATCTGCTCCAGCTGCGGGGGGTGGGGGGAACAGGAGATTCTCTCCATGCTGCTGGGACCCTCCCTCCAGCTGCCTTGGTTCATCATGATCTTAGCCGCTCCTGTCCAAGAGCTGACCCGGACTCTGGCCTTGGAGAGGGGAGGACAGGGCGGAGTGTCATGAGGCGGGAGGAGTGGCCAGCAGTGTGAGCCCCAGCGCCCGGCCTCCACTTCCCTACCCTGGGCCGGCCACTCTCCAGCTGTGAGAGTCTGAATTTATACGGAAGTGGAAATGGCTACTACAAGATCTTTAGGGAACAGCAGACTCTGACAGAGGCGAGGAAGAGGCAGGGCACTTGGGCACTGCCTGAGCCGGTGCAGGGGGCAGCTGAGTTTGGGGTGCAGAGGACAAGCTCTGTGAGTCCTTGAAGTTTGTTGAGTCAAAGCCATCTTGAGGTGCAAGGCTGGGGCTCCCCTTCTCAGAGTCCCTTGGCTGAAAGGTAGAGGTGTCTCAGGGAGGGAGCGAGAGAGTCGGACATTCAGAAGAGCTTCGTGAGGGCAGGAGTTGTCCTGTGAGGGGCTCGGGCGGAAGTGGCTGGCAGAGCAACAGCGATGCAGCCAGCTGGGCCGATTCCCTCCAGCGCAGGGAGGTGGCGCCTGGCCCTGGAGCCTGACTGATGCTCTTGTCAGCCTCAGAGCCAACTGAGAAGAGCCCAACTCATGTGGCCCCAGAGTGAGTCTGCCTTGCCTTCAGACTCTGTGAAGTGATTCCCTGTCTTTTTTTTTTTTTTTCTTGGTTTTTGGTTTTTCTCCGGTACCAGGAACCGAACTCATGACCTTGCGCTTGCCAGGCAGGCGCTTTGCCGCTGAGCTAAATCCCCAGCCCCTTCCCTGTCTTGATGAGTCTGCAGCTTGGAGTGTCTGGGCTTGGGGTACAGGCCCTCAGGTGCCATCACACAAGTGAGCTGAGGCCATGTTTCTGTGTTCTAAGAGTCTGTGGTTCCATAATTCCCATCACTTTTAGAAGGCCAGGATGTTATGATTGTGAGACTCTGAATTTCCTGATTATGTGAGTCATTTAGCCAGTCAACAAACACCCAGTGGATACTTGGTACACACCAGGCCCTGTGCTGGCTCAGAGGTGCTGGCCCCTGAGAATACAGAATGGGCAGACATAAAAAGTGGGTGCAAGACCTCTGAACTCAGGGGCTGCTGTGCTGGAGGAAGCAACAGCCACCACACAAATAAAGAAGCATACTATGAGCACACCAGGGGCTGGGGATTTAGCTCAGCGGTACAGTGCCTGCCTGGCAAGCGTAAGGTCGTGAGTTCAATTCCCGGTACCGGAGAAAAACCAAAAAACCCAAAAAGAGCACACAGGCGCCAGAGGTGAGGGGACAGAGTGGTAGCATGGAGTGGGATACAAAGTTTCTTCCTCACTGTGCTTTGCACAGCCTCTCTGTGGTGCTGCTTGAGCAGAAGCTGGGAGCGAGCGAGGGAAGCAGCAGTCACCTAGGGAGGGCGTTTGCAGGCAGAGGGGCCCGCAAGTGCACAAGCCCCGAGGTGGGGTGGAGTGAGGCTGGCAGGTCAGTGGGGAGGGGGAGCGTGAGTGCGGCCCTGGTAGATGGAGAGGAGAGGGTACACCACACAGGGCCTTGTGTGCCTGAGGAGACATTGCTTCTGTGTGAGGTAGGCAGTCTGATTTGGTGGCTCCACCTTTTAGTGGCTGACTATCAGCCTCATAGGGCAGAGACCAGGCCTGTCTGGGTCAGGCTGTAAAGTAAGTGCTTGATGCGAGGCCTGGTACCCACTAGATGCTCAAGAAAGTGTTTGTTGACTGACTGACTGACTCTAATGCTGGGGCAGTGAAGCAGCCCTTGAATGCCCTGCTCTGCTCCGGTCTCTCCTCAGGCCCTTGGAAAGTTGCCCCCAGGCCAGCATCTCCTGCTGTCACTGAGGGTGAAGGAAGTACCCACCGTCACGCTGCAGAACAAGAAGGCCAGCATCTCCATTGCAGCCACCATTCACGTACTGTCTCCAGTCCCTCAGGGGACCCCCGCAGCCCTCTTCCAGCTGAATGAGGTGAGTGGCCAGGGCTGGGTTCTGGGTGGGTCCTGGGGGTACCTGCCCCTGATTTTGGGGTGGGTCCTATGCAGCCCAGCCTAGAAAGCCCCCCTCCCCTGCCCAGCTGAGCCGCGAGCTCCCACCTCCGCTCCTGCCTACTCTTAGGCGCCCTCTGGTGGGCGCCCTCTTTGTGCCTCCTGTGGGCTCAAGAGTTGGTCCCCACCCCCTCTGCACAGCTGCCCGCGGTGCGGGCCGTCTCTGGTCTGCTCCCCGCCTCCCACTGCTGTGTGCCCAGTACCCATCTGACCCGAGGTCCCTTCCCTCCCTCTCTGGCTGGCGCCTGTGTCTTCCTGAGCTCCCAGCCCTTGCGCCCTGAGCCTAGTTCTTCCCCTGCTGCCACAGCCCAGTCCCTGTGGGCCCCTGACCCTGTGCTCCCGGACCTCGGCCGCAGTGCCCGGCTCTTGCGGTTGTGGAGAGGCTTCTTGGTCCTGAAGCTCTGGAGCCCAGCATGCCCGCAACACACTAGTGCCCCAGGAGAGCTGGGGGAGAGCACCGAGGGCAGAGACCCAGGGCCGGCTCGGCACTGTCCCCATCGCCGCGGAGTCCTGGGTGACCTCTGCTCGGCTTCCCACACAGGTGCTGACCCTAAATGCCCAGCTGGCTCCCTCAGCCACCAAGCTGCACCTCTCCCTGTCCCTGGAAAGGTAATGCGGGCTCCTGGGAGCAGGACCTCGTTTGGGTCTCCAGGAACAGAATTAGGGCTCACCTAAAACAGGAGCTACTGCTGCTGACAGAGCATCCCCAGGCCGGGGGTTTCACCAATGTCTTCCTGGTCCTCAGGTCCCTCCAGGGAGGGACAGTGTGGGCCACTGAGGCTTCCTCTACCACCGGGTCCTGCTCACAACCTGTCCCGGACACAGGCCTGCCCAGCCCAGGCGCACGGCTCTCCCAGAGTGTTGCCGGGTGTTCGTTCCTCACGTGGACTTGTGATTTCTCCAGTGTCCCCAGCACTGTGATAACGGGGCCACATGATAATCACAGTGGCCAAGACAGTGCTGCCAATGACGCCCCTTCCTTATGCACACACAGCACTTTACACTTTGCAAGTGCACGCGGTCCAGACCCCCCCCCCCCGGGGCGGGGAGTAGCAGGCCTGTGAACTAGGCCCCTTTTCAGGCCCAGGTCCCCACCACGGATTCCAGCCCCAGGTGCAGGGGCTTCCCAGGGGACTCTGAGATCTGCCTGTCTGAGGCACAGGCACCTAGTGCTCACCTGACCCACTTTCCGTGTCGCCTTGAGCGCTACTGCCCTGCATGGGGTGGGTCCACTGCCACTAGACAACCTTGACCAGGGCCCGTCTGGCCTGGGCTCACTGCCACCCCCTGGTGGCAGCTCAGGCCCTGGTCCTTGAGGGTCTAAGGATATGGATCCAGCCTCTGCTCCCAGACCTGCCCTTGGGCCAGCTGGGATCTGTCGCTGGGTTATGCTTTTAGTCAGTGCCTACTGTATGCATGCCACCCTGTGTCGAGTGCTCAGTCTAGGGACAAAGGGTCAAACAGCTGGGCTCAGACCAAGGCTCCAAGGCCATAGAGCCAGAAGTGGTCACTGTTCTCAGAAGGAGGTTAGAGCCCTCCTGGTCTACTGTGCAGGTAGGAAAACTGAGTCTTGAGCCCAGCTGGGTGGAGGCAGAGCAGAGCAGCACCCCTGTAACCCGTCCTGCAGAGCCGCGGCTGGGGAGGGCAGGACAGCCCTCAGCAGGGGTGCGGTGGGGGCCAGGCCCCTCACGCTCTCGTCTCTCTGCCAGGCTCAGTGGCAAGCTGGCCTCCTCCTCTGTCCACACCTTTGAGGTAAGTTTCTGGGTAGGGGAGAAGCTTGGCGCTCGGGAGGGTCTATAGGTGGGCAGGGAAGGAGCAGGGATGGGTCTTGGGCCATGGCTGAGCCGGCCTCGGTCTGGGCTCCGCCCCAGGAAGCCACAGTGGGCAGGCACGGGGGCAGCTGTGTGTGCGTAATGTGTGCATGAGTGTATGTGTCACAGCCATCATCTTAGGAAAGTGGAAGTCGTGGTCTTCCGAAGTCTTGGAACCTCACAAAGTTGTGAACCCCACAAAGCTCTGGAGCTTCGCATGAGCAATAAAGTGCCTCACCTCGGAAGTTCTGACATTTCAGAGCCTCTCAGAACCCCGAGGTTCCTGCTTTACAGAACCTGAGGTTCTGGAGGCTCTTAATGGGTGCAGGTTCTAGAACAGTGGTGGCGAACCTATGGTGTTTATGTCACTGTGTTTTTCTTTTAAGAAAAAAAAAACATCAATGTAGAGTTGTTTTTTTTTCTAAATGAAAACCTCAGTATTCAGTTTTAATGGCAGTATTGGCACTTTACAATAAATGAGTGGATTTGGGGTTGTACTCAGTCTCTGAAAGTTGGACCATCGCTGTTCTAGAACATCCTGAGGGTCCCTGTGCTGACAGAGACCTAAGGTCAGACTTCTGTTCTGGAGCTGGGCATGCTTCCTTCTGTCTCAGATGCTGCCCTCCTCTCCCTGCCACATACTTCTAGGAGGGCGCCTTTTCTGAACTCCTAGGCTGAGTGTGAAGCCAGCCTAAATGAGAGGGCCCTTGAGGGTCCCTGCTGGGCAGCACGTCTTCATGAGCCCTGGGCTTGGGGGAGGCTCAGCTGGGCCTCTGGACTCCTTCCCTGGCAAAAGGGGTGCTTTCCCCGGGGGGTCAACCATCCCACCACTACGAGCTCTGTTGCAGGCGTCCCGTTTGGAAGAATGGCTCAGCAGCGTGCTCCGGGCTGCGTACATGTCGAAGCTCAATGGTATGGTGGCCTCTGCTCTCTTCTTGGACACAGGAGGAGTCTGCACTTGGGATTGTCTAGCCCATTACCTCTTTCCACTGCTCTGATAGAGACACTGAGTCCAGAGAGGGGCTGAGAACATTCTAAGGGTCTCATTTGTAAGGTGCAGGACCCAAGGTGCCAATGTTTCCATCCCAACAGCCTTGATTAGCACCTACATCATGCCAGGATGTGAGGCCCAAGAGCTGATCTGACCTTGAGCACCCACAGTCCAGTGGGAAATGTCCTATGAACAAATGGTTAGGATATAGGTGACCCAGAGTATGCACAGGATTGGTGGAGCCCTAGGAGGCTTTGCTGAGGGGAGCCGTTGGTGCAGTACAGAAAAGGGACTTTTTTTTTTTGGGTATAGTAAGATGAATAGGAGCTTTCCAATAGGAAGCTCAGTACCCAAGAAAAGAAATGGCTGGCTCAAAGAAAGCAATGGAGTAGAGTCAGCAGGGTTCAAGGGTCTGACATCCCAATCCTCACATAGTTTTGTTTTTGATCATCCCATCACAGTGGTCCTGGAGGTTGGAATTCCCCTGCCTAAGATTCTCAATGTTAATTTTTCCAATTCAGCTCTGGACATCATTGAGGTGAGATTCCCACATAGCCGTGGCCTAAACGGGTCTCGGGCTTGTGTCTGGAAAGCCCTGCGTGGCCCTGTGAGATGCTCTGCCTCATCCTCTAGTCTGTCCCTGTGCCATATTCTAAAAGAGTCACAAATGACTCACCCCAGGAATGGCAAATAAGTGACACAGACGCTTCTACTCCTTCCTGCCTTGTGGCTGGAAGACAATGTCCGTTGATCCCAGAATCCTGGCTGGTTGAATTCAGACATGTCTGGCCTGTAGAGTGGAACTTCACATTTACTCACAGAGCTGCAGTTCTCCGGCCCACAGGTAGCAAACACCTGCACTGTGGCAGGTGTGGCTAATAGGTCGTGACACTTTTTCTTGCTGACCACCAGCACTCCTGTTCAAACCAGCCCAACTTTGAATTTTGGAGCAGCTCTGGAAGTTGGGCAGAGCAGGAAGTTCTGAACCCATTTTTCAGATGAGGACCAAGGCTGAGCAGGCCAAAGCTCTAGCCCTAGGTCACAGAGTGCGTTATCGGCAGAAATGGTGCTTGAATTTGACTCTCAAATCAGCACCCTGTCCCACACTCGGTGTTATTCAATTATCATTTGTCCATTTGTCCACACATTCATTGGTTGAGCACTACTATGCTCCAGGTGCAGTGCTAACTGCAGGGTGGCGTGGCAGGTGACACAACGGCTCAGGCGTGGGGACGTGGCTGGGTTTGGAGGCTCTGAGGCTAATCAAGGACGACTGCTCTTTGCAGAATGCTGTTGTGCTCACCGTGGCATCCTGAGGCTCCTGTGGACACCATCCCTCCTTGTTGACTACCAGAGTCCTGGCTATCTGCCTCAGCTTCCCTCCCAGTCTCTAGCCTGTGTCGGTGACAGCATAAGTGCCTCCTATCCTCCTGGGCCCGCCTTGCCCAGTGCCCTGCAGCCCTGCTGCCATTCGGGTGGGGATTGTGGACCCACCTTGGGCCTGCTCAGAGCACTGCAGGCCTCTGCGAAAGTCGCAGGCCTCAATAAACTACTCCTCAGCTGCAGAACCTGCTGCCTGGTTTGTTCTGGGGTCACATGGGGCACCCCAGCCTCAGTCTCTAATGCCCTCCCCATGTCTAAGCAGGCACTCCTAGGAGGTGAGGGTACTTGGGGCCAGGTCACTGCAGCTGTGAGTCCCAGACTTACCTGCATGGCCTGGCCTCCTCTCGCTGCCTCGCCGCACCTCCCCTCCGCGTCTCTGCTCCCCTTCCCTTCTCTTCCCTCTCTGTTCTCTCAGTGTCTGTCTTTCCCTCTGTGCCACTCTCCATCTCTGAAGGGACATGTGAGCTGAATTTTGAAGGGTGAGTAGGAGGAAAGGAGCCAACACCTCAAAAACAAGGCTGGACGAGGCTCTCCAGCCCCAGAGAAGCCTGCCCTGGCCACCCTGAGAGGATTAGCAGAGTCTGGCGCCGAGGAGATCACCTGAGCTTAGCGTCCAAAGGCTCCTTTGTCTGAAGCTAGAGAGACCTGGTGGGAAGGACAGGAAGGCAGGAAGGACAACCAGATTTCCCGGAAGGTGTCTCACCCTGAAGGTGACTCAGCCATGCAGGTGGTCAAGTGTGTGCATGATTGGGGCTACTGAGATCAGGACACATACCTAGAACCACTATGGAGGCCTCCACTCAGCCCGTCCCCCTCAAGCCCAGTCAGCTCACCAGGGCTGCAGGGAGCCGCCACAGGGGCTCCTGGGGGTGCTCTTCCCCCTTCTGTTACCCCTAGCCTAAGGTCCAAGGCTCAGAGCCTGCAGATGGAGCTGGGTTCTAGGGTAGCGGGGTCTAGATCCTGACTTTGTCACTATCTAGCTGCATGGCCTTGGGCACATGACATAACCTCTCTGTGCCTCAGTTTCCTCATCTATAGACTGCAGGTAAAAACTGCAGGACCAGTTCATGGGCTGACAGCCTAATATACCGTAGCACTCAGAGGCAAGTCTGGCCCATGTGAGCACTCTGTAAACATGCCAGGATGATTCTTTGAGCACCACAGTGAGATGCTCAGACTCGGGAACTGGGGCCAAAATCATCAGGTCTGAATTCTGGTTCTGCCCCTCAGGAGCTGTTAAGTTGGGCCTCAGTGGCTTCTCTGTGGAATCCTATGGTAACACCCATCTGTTATGGGCACTGTGAAGCCAGTGCCTTATGGATAGAGCAGGCACAACCTGAGCAGGCACAAGGTGGGTCCACATCGGATGCAGTGTCTGGCATACAGCAAGTGCTCAGTAGATATCAGCAGCTCTTACCATCATTCTGTGCAGCCGCGGGACTCAGCACCTCACTTTGAACCAGTGAGTGGGTGGATACATATGTGGCCAAGCAAATGCAGCAGAATGCAAATGGTTGATGTAGCTGATGGGTGTAAACTGACAAGAGTATGTGTGTTCATTGCATAAATTTTCCAGCTTTGCTGTACATGTGAAAATTTCATGATAGGCTGGTTTTAGAAAGCTCAGCTGTGCACTGGCCCCAGGTTGGAGGTGCTGGACCCACACCCATCCCATACATCCATCTCAGATCACCCTTCGAGGCAAGTACTACACCCATGTCACACATGGAAATCTAACATGAGGCTCAGGGGAAGGAGGTGGCTGGCCCAAGGCCACACAGTGAGTTGGGGGTTGAGCAGGATTTGAACCTGGGTCCTCTGATGCTGAATCTGGTCCCTGGCAGCTCCAGTCTGTCCTCCAGACCCTCTGGCCTGGGCAGCGCCTGCCTTGGGGCTGGAGCCCACATGCATCCATCTGGGGGCTTAGCAGGGTCTCCAGGAACATGTGCAGACCAGGGGCTGATAAGCTCAGCTCATGTGACACCACCCAGGCTGAGCTCACCTCTTGGAATTACCTGCAAACCACAAACTCTTGTGGTTTTGGAGTTCAGTGCTCAGTTTGCAGAGCAAATCTGAATTCCGGTTTCTGCTAATTCTCATCTGTCATAATTATATGGCGTTTCCCTCTCAGAGTCCAGGCTCAGACTGCAGTTGCTATATAAGGCTGATAGTGACCAGACTCAGCCCAAAGCGGAGGGCCTGGTGAGTGGAACCTCTCAGGATTGAGCTACTGGGACCTGCTGGGGGTAAGGAAGAGCCCCTCCTGGTTCTCTGTCCAGGCCAGCAGGGGAGACTGAGGCCTGGGAGGTTCTGAGGAGAGAGCTCGACTGGAGAGCCACCAGAGCAAGCCCTCTGAGCTCGATTGTCTTGCCTGTCACACGGGCCTCACCAGGATGACCTCAAGGGGATCCGCAGAGAGGCTGAGTCATGCCAGTTATGTGTGCCAGCAGATTGCATGTGTTTTCCAGGGATCTTGAGCACCTTCAATCTTCCTGGCCTCCCTGACACTCCTCAGCTGCGTGCTGATGTGGGAAATCCCTCCTCTGGTGCCTGTCTTTGTAACTAAGAGGGTGATCCTTGTCCAAACACTGAGTTCTCTAGGCAGTGGGGTTGGGATGAGGTGAGCAAGCCAGGAAAAAATTCTTGAACATAATTAGTCCTTCAGAGTCTAGAATAAATGAGTGCCTTAAAACCTTTCATGGGAGCAGATGGGATTGGGGAGTTTGGAGGCTTTGTGAAATTCAAGAGAAGTTGGAACAAGATGCATAAATGGAAGAAAAGGAAGCCCACAGTCTCAGTTTGGCTCGGAGGGTGACTGTCCTCTGCTGACCCTGAGGCTGGTGAATGAACAGCTTGCAAAGGTGGAGTGGGACAAGTGGACATGGGCATGGAGGCAACAGGAGTTTCCGGAAATCTAACTAGTCTCCTTCAATACATGCCTCACCCCTTCCAGTCTCTTGCATTCCCTATGCATTTCTTGAGGGTCTCAAATATTAGTCCCCAAACAATGACTATGTTGCAGTTTCCTGAGTATCTATAAGTATTAGATGCAGTATGTTCATGATCATGTTCAAAAAGGTCAAGTCCCTTGCCTAAGGAGTAGAACCCAGTCAGCTCTGATCCAGGGTGCCTGATCTGAACCTCATGGTATAGAACTTCCTCCTCCGAAGAGGCAGGAAGATGTTTGCTGGCTGGAGGTCTGGAAGATTGCCCAGGTGGTGTGTGGATGAGTGGATGGATAGATGGCAGGTGGCTGGCCGGATGTATAACTGGTTGATGGCTGTTAGGAAGATAGATAGCTGGGAAGGAAGATGGGTAGATGAGTAGATGGATGGGTGGCAGGGTGAATGGGCCAGCGGAATGAGTACAGGAGCAGATGGGGGGGTGGATGAGGGTGGATGGGAGATGGGTGGGTGTTGGAAGATGTCCCGGAGCCTGCTTGCTATCAGTTTGCTATTTTGTTGGATTCCTGTCCCTCCTCTGCTGGTGGCCCATTTTATAAATTTCATCTCAGGAGATAATCAGGCACCCATGCTATGGGACATTCTGCTTAATGAGGCTCATAGCAGTTTGAAAAATTCAAAACATGCTTTCAGAACCACAGCTCCACCCCCAGCTCCCCAGGACTAGGGTTCAGCCCAGGGTCTTATGCATGTAGGCAATTGCCCTACCACTGAGCAACATTTCCAGCCCTTTTCACGTTTTATTTTGAAACACAGGGTCTGGTTATGTAGATTGGGTTGAACTCAAACTTGAAATCCTCCTGCCTCAGCTTCCTGAGTCACAGCTGCCACTATCCCCGGCTGTGTTAGGATTTGGATATGATTCTTGGCTGAAGTCCTTAGTTCTGCCTGCTGGGGTGGTCACACCTGGCCATAGCCATGCCGTGCACTGTGTCCTCAGCAGGGAAGCAGCAGAAGCAGCATGTGGACGGCGTGGTGTGTGGCTGCCCTGTGCACGGTGGCTGTGTGTGGCAGCCGCCAAGAGACAAACACGGTCCTCAGGGTTACCAAGGACGTGCTGAGCAACGGTGAGTCCAGCCCGGAATGGGGTTGGGGGTGGCGCAGGGCTGGCAAGGTGGGTCAGCCAACCCAAGTACCCAAGGATCCCACTGGCAGAGCCCGCCTCAAGTGGCTGGGTGACTTCTCCTCCTTGGGCCTTAATGTCCCCTTTTGTGGGGTGGGGGGCTACACCTACCTGGGCATCTACTATGTGCCAGCCACCATTCTGGGGACTTTATTCTCATTTTCTTGAGGCAATAGAGGGCAGTGATTAAGAATGAAGGCCTAGGGGGCTGGGGATTTAGCTCAGCGGCACAGCGCCTGCCTGGCAAGCGCAAGGTCGTGAGTTCGATTTCCGGTACCAGAAAAAAAACCCGAAAAAAAAACAAAACAAAGAATCAAGGCCTAAAATCAGCCTTCCCATGATTCAAATCCTGCTTCTATGACCTTAAATTCTTGGCTTGAGTTCTCTGAGCCTCCGTTTCCTCATCTGAAAAGTGGGTGTGATTATCCCTATCTCTGAGGACTCAAATGGGGACTAAACAAACTTTTGAGGAATGGCAGAGTTCCTAGGGCCTAGAAGGCCTTCAAATGTGAGACCTGTAATTCCTGCCTCCAATTATTACGTTCTCATCTGGCAAATGAGAACCCCACTCCCTGCCCCAGTGCCTTCCCAGAGCTGTCATGAGGGTAAAAACTCCATTTCCGATCTGAGTGGTCTCTGAGTACCTCAGAGGCCTCATTGTATTTGGTAAATAGGAACAGTTATCCTGGTCCTATTTTTCAGGAATAGATAATGCACGAAGAAGTGCATTTTTTTAAAGCTGTGAAGTGTAGGGACTTGGAATGGGACAGTGACAGTCTAGCTAGGTGTGGCTGGACGGGTCGAAATCCAGTTAACACAAGGCCAGGCAAAGCCCAGCAGAGAGTGACCGGGCCTTGAGAGGGCTTACCGCCTTACCCTGCCGGGTGGGAGTGGAGAGGTCCAGAGGGCTGGCCACACTGCTTGGAGGTGGGCTGGGCAGGGATGGAAGCCCCCGACTGACCCGTGCCTCTCCACAGCCATCTCGGGCACGCTGCAGCAGAGTGACGCTCTCCGGTCCGCCCTGAGAGAGGTGCCCATGGGTAAAGCCGGTGCTGATGGTGGTGGGCCCCTCCTGGGGGGGCTGCTTGGTGGCACGGGGAGCAGCGGTGGGGGTGGTGGTGGTCTTCTGGGAGGCCTGCTTGGTGGTGGGAGTGGAGGGGGTGGCAGTGACCTGTTGGGTGGCAGTGGCGGGGGGCTGCTGGGTGGCGGTGGCAGGGGGCTGCTGGGCGGTGGAGGGAGTAGCAGTGGCGGGGGCCTGCTGGGCGGTGGCGGTGGCAGTGGCCTTTTGGGCGGTGGCGGGCACCGGTATGATAACTACAGAAGTGCTGAATTCCCCCGAGGTGTCGGTGGTGTCCCCTACAATGACTTCCATGTCCGGGAGCGTCCCCCCCAGTACACCAATGGCAAACAGCTTGGTGGAAATTATAGATATGGTCACATTGATACCAACGACAACACTGCTCAGCTGGGCGGCAAATACCGCTACGGTGAGATCCTGGAGTCCGACGGCAGCATCAGGGACCTGCGGCGCGGCGACGAGAGCCCCGCCTACGGCCACCACCGGGGCC